AAACTAACAAATGATATTTATAGTCAGAAATAAGAAATTTATATTATATATACTTGTTCACCCTTTTTCGCATGCCCGCTCAAAGGTAGCTTACACCTGTGTGTTTGTGTGTGTGTGTGTGTGCGTATTTGTTTGTATGCGTGTGTAAATATATTGCATTACTCTTTTCCTCAAGAGTGCGATCAGTTGCGCCGTGTGATAGAGAGAGCAAGAGAGTGAGAGAGAGGGAAGCGTGTAGAGAGGGGGGCAAGAAAAACCGGTAATGCATTCGAAAAGAAGTCACCTTCATATAAAACTCAGCTCGTTGCCAAGTCGAGAGACAGAAGCATTGTAAACTCGACTAAAATATCGTAAGACCCGAGTGACTAGAGACCCGCGACTCAATGCCCTGAAGATTGGCTTTAGGCATTTCGCTGACATTCGCCAGGGACAGCAACTGCAACGGCAACGGCGACGTCGACAGCGACAGCAGCTGCAGCTGTCCCATTATCAGCCCTGGAATGCTATCTATCTTACAGATGCGCAGTTATCGAGCCAACTCTGAAAGCTTTCTTTGCTGATGTGAGGGAATGCATTGAGCACTGAAAGGAATGTCGATTTGATCGAAAAAATAATGAACAAACTCTATCGATCACAATATCAAATTCTGTCTACATCAATAATTCCAAACAAGTTTTTCCCCTTTAACCACAAATAAATACACATATATTTGTATGTATGTATTGTATGTATTTATGTATGTGTAATTATAACTATATGTATGTATGCGTCTAGAATTTTTTATCAATTTCATGGGTGAGTGAAATATAACAAAACTATTATTTTTGTACATGCTCGTAAAGTATTGGGCTAAACTATTGTGAGCAGATATGAATTTATGTGACTATACAAATATACATAAATACGTCATTTGGACACTTGAATGTGGAGGTGCGACATGATTACGTTAGCTATAGTCAACAACGTTTACATAGGTGTGTTGCAATTCCACGAATACTTTGAGTATTTTTTATGCAAATTGGAACACTGTCGAGCCAATTACCTGGGAGTGAGGGGAAGAGGTGGAAACGAGAGTGCAGAAAATCCTCGCTAAGTGCGATATCTCTTTGAGTATGTATTATTTTTCGAGTAGTGTCAAAAACGGCGACTTTTCCATCATTTGTGTGGCGATAGATCGCCTAGGCTAGTGGTGACATTATCTTATCGCAACATGTTACTATAAGCCGGCCCACAGATAAAAGATAACTGGCTGGCAACGACAACAATTCCGTCTCTGTCTCTGACTCCGTTTTTGAGTTTCGTGTGTCTGCCGAACTAATGAGGTCAGAGCACTCGGCTCTACGAGCGAGCTGCATCGCTCTGGCCCCACGCCCTGCCCCCCTGCTCGATTGCAGTGGTAATTGAGTAGATGCCTAGGCTGTACTTGTGCCAACAGCTCTCATAAAGTAGTTAACAGCAAACAGTATGAGGAGTAGGGGCAGCTAGGGGGCTAGGGAGCCAGGCTAGTTGAACTCCGCTTTCGGAGGAGGGCAACAAATTGTATGAGTGAACACTCTGCCTTAGCTTTATGAACAGCTTAACGAATTCGTCAAAGTGGCAGGCAAACATTTGGCTAAAAATTAAATGTTGTTCAACGAGCTTGCCACTAACAACACCAATTACAACAACAACAACAACGGTAACTGGCAGCTGTCGCTGTTTGTGTGTAGGCAAACTCGGTTAGATGTTTTCGCATTCATAAAATGGGAGAAAAAACCAGGCAGAAACTTAAGTGTTGGCACATGCGGCGTATGCGTAATGCCAACTACATATACCCTGTAGAAATAGCAATAGGAACAGCCACAGCAGCAGCAGCAAACAGCTTAAATGTCTCTGGGATGCCTATAAAAATACGCCTTAATAGCATTTTTATTTTAACAAACATATCACGACTTTTCGCCAAAGCGAATGACGACAAAAAACACTTAAAAAATCATCTATTTGACATGCAAACGAACTGGATTTTAATTAAATTATATATAGAATTTGTATATTATATAAGAAAAATATATATGAATATTATTTNACACACACATACACAAACACATACACACACATACACAAACACATACACACACAAGCACCCACGCATAAACACGCATGGGCTGCAGTGTGCGCTTACTATGAGAACTTAATTGTTTAATAACTTTTTTTATGGACGTACGATCTTCATGAAACTTTCAGATTATGATTATAACATGGATATGCATGTAATTGCCAAAGCACAAGTCTCTAGTATTT